TGGATGGACAAGTACCTCTTCAAAACGGAAATGTTGGAATCACTCCGTTAAAATCAAACCGAATGCTTCCAACTGATGACCTAATTTTATCAAAAAGCAGCCTTCTCCAGACTTCCATGACCATGTGCAACGAATTTGCTGATTCGGGTCATGAGCAAAGCCGCGCTTTCTTGTCAAAATCAAAATGCATCAACTTAGCGATTTATGTATTAGAAGGATAGTGTGTTACTAATGTCATTTCGGGGGGGGGGGGGACCGGAGCTATGGTGGGTGTAAGATCAGTTTAATTTGGTTGTAAAATCGTGAAGCCGAATAGAAAGAATAAAAAGAATAAATGTATGTGAAGGTTTCAAAAATACGAACGTCAATTATGACTTGAGCTGATATACACCATGTGCACCATGTGTGCAGTTATCTAGCCATCAGAAACCGACAAATTATTGAAATTTATTTTTGTTTTAAGATGTTTTGCTTGGCGTTCATATCTTTCACGTACATATATTGGAATTAGGGAAGATGATGAGGTTCTCCTTCATTTCTGATCCTTTGCGTTGACCTGAAATGAGCTTGAGATCAGAAATACTCAGAATGCAGTAGAGGCCTAGCTGTCTGTCTTAATGTACTGGGATTCAATTTTCCTTTTACCTTTTTTGCTGGACAGTGCCTTCAAAAAGCTCCAATACAAATTCGATTTGGTGGAACGCTTTCTTATAATTTGTTGAGTGATCTGATACATTGCCCATTTCACGCAGAAAGACTGATCGCCATCTACGTTCGGCAGCGCCGTGGCCCGATACCAAACATAGTTAAGACTACTTACATGCTTTTATCAATAACTGCCCGTGCTTCCTCCTCCCTCCATTTCTTTTGGTCCTCATCGCTCCCCAGCTTGGATAGGGCAAAATCGCGAAAATCTGGCAGTATCAGTATTCTCATCGCGCTGCGATTAGCGGGAAGATCCGGCAGGTCCGTCCATTGTTTTCCGTCGAATCTAGACAAGAAAAGTTTTGATCAATGTACTGGGATGCGCTTCGCATAGATTCAATGTCGGGAGAAATTCATACTCTAACTAAGCCATCAATCGCTTTCAAGTGTAAGTGCTCGTCCTTTCATATCCTTCACTTCATAAAATAATTAACTACCACAGGACATCCCAAGGACCCGCGCTATATTTGCACCATTCCTCCTGCCAAGAAAGTATTACAGGGTGTCCCACAATTATGGGCGCCGAAATTCAAAAATTTATCTGGCAGATGTTTAGCTCGGATTATTTCTCTTCTCATTTTGCCCTAATGATAGTTACGTCACGGAACGGTCCTATTGTACCTGGCTGATTGTAGTGAAATCCCTACTATCTTCAGGAGGGCGGGGAGGTCTTTCACTGCGACCTGCGATCATTCGCATGCACGAGGTGGATACCCCAATGAAGGACAATGTCAAATATTTTGTAGTTTCCACAAGGGTTATACGGAAGGTTATCCTACGATACTAGGAAACAGCGTCCATTATGCATAGGCTAAGAGAGGTAGAAAGGCTGGCCGTTCTGCCGGAAGGGTGTCTGAAAGGTTCCATTCTCAAATTGACCGCGACCCACGACGCTCCTTCAGAAGAATGGCGGAGGAGCTGGAGGAATCGAAGTCATCGATGGGAAAGGTAGTCAATGAAGAACTACATAGCCGTTCCTTACCATTATGCTAGGAGTGCCAGCTCATTTTCGATATCAACAAGCAGCAGAGGGTAAAAGATTGCAGACGTTTGCTTACCCGCCTCAGTGAGGACACGCACCCTACCATCCTTTCTTATGAGGAAAAAATTTCCATAGCAGAGCGGATTATCTTGCACTGCAATAGCCAGAAAGATTGCATTCCAGGCAGAAACATCAGGAGTGCTACTCCACGCTAAAAGATTGTTTGCAAATCACCGAACTCGGCCTCAATTTCGGTTTAAAGGAACACCACGTCCAGTGGTGAGCAGAGGGCCGTTAGTTTTCCTTTGATCTCGGTAAGTTAATCAGCAAATCCGGACACCTGAGGTGGAAACGTGAACGTAATGAAGGCTCGGCACGAGTCCTACCTTGGAAATAACCCGAGTTGTTTCCAGCAGAAAAGTGCTCAGGCCTACATGGCCAAGTTCCTCCAAGTGTGGTGCCGAGTTCAGTTGCCCGACTTTGCTGGCACCGAGGAACGGCCATCATTTTCACCAGGTTCGCGCCCACCTCACCTCTTAGTGTGGTCGTTGAGCGAAAGTAAGGTGTGTCAAGTTCTTCGTCACAGTTCGAGTCACTGGAAGGAACATTGAAGGAAGCCTGAGAAGAAATAGACGAGGAATTCCTGCGTGCAACGTGCGCGAAGCCTAAGAAGCGACTTCGAGCTTGCATTAGTCGCGTTGGAGAGTATTTCGATATCTAGTTGTTCCACATTGTTGGGGATGATGCAATTTACCTTATGTGTAAATTCAGTCAGCATCGTCCGTTTAGAAGCTTGAAATATATTGCTGTGTGTAGGCGCCCATAATTTTGGGACACCCTGTACACTTCCGTTGCAAATGCCAGTTCAAAACTCCAGTGACCTTGTGATGTGGTGGTGTATAGAGTACAGAGTCTGCAAGAGGCGCCGCTTCTCCATCTTGAGTACCGTATGCACCCCTTACTAGGAAGCTTTTTCCCTCAAGGAGTAAGATATCTGGCATAGCTTGTACTACAGTAGCGTGGAACTGTGGCATGAACATGGTTTCCATCGGTTAGCTTGCTACGCACGCTATCTGACACCTCTGCGATTTTAAATGCTGTACGAATGGCGGCACATCATGAAAGGTTCTAATCAACGGCGTAGACCTTTTCTATCTCTATCTTTTCAACTACAGATGTACCGCTTTTGAGAGTCAGTAGCTTAGAACTTGACGCACTTTTCTACCCCCGAGATTGTCTTCGAGGCTGAGTATCCTCCAGCTACAATTAGATCTTCCTTCAGCGAGCACGCGGCGAAGTTAGATCTGAAAGCGGTAAAATAATGCTAAGGTAGACGTATATCTAGCCCATTTTCAGAGTTCCTGCTCAAGATTTAACAAAACGTCCTATACTTGACAATGAAGGTGATCGGCTGCATACCTGTTTGACTTCATCGGTGGCCCTTCTGTCCATGACAGATGACCGATTGTCCAGGTGAACACTGTATTTACCCGATCCTGTCCATTAAATCCCCCAAG